ATATTTATTTGTTTTGAGAAAAGAATTTTGTTACATAAAATAAATATTTTTCAATTCAAATCAATATTATTAGTTTCAAATAAATGATTTATTCGGCAATATCGAAATAAATACTTATTCAAACTCAATAACTTATTTTTTCAGTGCAGCTTTTCGAAAGCCAAAATCTTCATAAAATATTGATAATTCAATGAGATATAAAATTTTTTAATTTAAAACAAAAAGCAACCTTTTTAGCTTTCCATTTGCAAAATTTCGATGAAATAAATTCTGTCTTCTTCCAAGATTCCTAAATTTTTCAATACATTAAATAATGCAGTTAATTAAATAACTAAATAGAATTGAAATGAATTTTACAATCTAAAATAAACGCTAGTTTTACGTGTTAGCTATACAAGAAATTTCATTTGTAATCCTTTTATTGTAATCAGAATGTATTTTGTCATGGAATATTTTTCTATTTTTTATCAATTATGGTTTTTATTCATATATCATAAAAAAATTTATTACAATAGTTTCGCGGTCAGCCAAAAAGAAATTATAGTTTTCCTATTTTAATTAAAATATCGAAAGTTGTTTATTTTGTAACTATGGAGATGATACGTTAATTCCTTCGCAAGAATAGTTGTATAAATAGATATAAAAATATATAAAAAAATACATTTGCATATTATTATTCGCAACGCGCGTCCTGTTTTTTTTACAACTGCAAAGAGGAAGAAGGGAGATGCTTGTAAAAAACATGGGGCCTCTTTAAGATCATATAGCTTAAGGGCCACAAAACTGTAGATCGACCCTGTATATATGTACCGTATATTGTAAAAAGATTGCAAAAAGAAGAAAGAAACGAATTCGAGAAAAGAATAAATTAGAGAAAAAAAGATCGATTTTAGACAGAAAATACGCACTGTTAACATCTTCTTAAGAAAAAAATATTGAATAGAAAATATTTCTATTTTTATTTTGTTCGACATAATACAATACTGTTTTTTAATCCCTAAAAAGAAAACGAAAAAAGAGGTAAATCAGTGTGGACAAGATGGATCGGTTTTCGCATCTTGTGATCTATCCTTTTCTTAATTAAGTCGTTTTTACAGGACCACGAAGTGTGTCGGCAAACATGCCAAAGAATTCACGCAGAGGGAAACTAATATATATTCAAGCAATTTGCTTCCCTGCCGAGGGAAAAATCATAGATGGGAAAAAAGTTTCACCGTCAAAGATGTGTCTTTATTCTTGTGTGCTTTGAAATCTGATTTTTATATTGCTCTTCTGAATTTGACATAACATGTTTGACATATAGATGTAATTACGAGATTTTCTAACTCTTCAAATATTGTACACTGAAAAAAAAATTATTAAACTAATAAATATTTTTATTTCAATACTGCCTAATAAATTTATTACCAATAAATATTTTTTCGCGTCAAATCAATATTATTAGTTTCAAATAAATGATTTATTTGGCAGTATTGCGAAATAAATACTTATTCGAATTCAATACATTTTTTTCAGAGTAAAATCAAATTACGAGATATAAATTATATATAAAATAATATAAAATAAGAAACTCAAAAAGAGGTATCGGGTGATCGTGCATCCTGCGTCGCCGAAATTCTGCTTACAATATAAAATATTTTTTGTATTACAATTGATGGGACTTCATAGAAAATATAATTAAATTCATATAATAAACGTGAAAAAATTGTTTGAATTTAATTGTCTTTATTGTCACTATTATATTTTAGCATATTACAATATAAGCGCGTTCTTATTTTGCAATTCCCTTCAGTGACCTAATAGAAATTATAATGAATATATTTAAAAACTTGAAAAAATTATTCTAATTTAATTTTCTTATTTGTCGTCTTGTATTAGGTATATGCAACGTAATAAATAAGAGATCGATGACTTAATTTCTAAAAAATATTTATTTATATGTAAAAATTGATACAAAAATATAAAACACTTATAATATATTAAATATATTAATTACATATAATAGTATTATTAATTCTTAATTGTATTAACCCTTAGACTGCTGGGAAAGTCACTTTTGTAACTCGATGCAAATCTTCGAAATTGTGTACAATGTGTATGTTACTTATATAGATAAATTTTGAGGAAAAAAAACCTCAATTTTAATGAAAAAATGCTGACAGTCTAAAAGGGTTAAGAATAATATATAATTTTATTGTTTATATATTTCAAAAGCAATTTTTTTTTTAATTTTTTAACTTGCAAAAATAACATTTTTAGTATGATTATATATGTTTGTGGAATCATTAGCAATGAGTTAAATGCCGCGATCATTAGATAGACCCAAAATGCCCCCCTCTAGTTAAATGGATGAATCTGGTTCGTCAAAATTCTCTGTAAATCAAAAAAAGTGTGGCTATTGTTAAAAACAAATCATACACTTATGGATGCAACTTTCACATCTTTCATGCTGCTGACAAAGTTTACTCTTTGTGTCAGGATCACTTTTGCAGAATTGCCTTTGTCACGGATAAATATAGAGATTATTTTCTTATCTGAGAATTCGATACAAGTTATATCGCAATCGAAAATACCAACAATGTTATTTTTTATACCACAAAAATATTTTTTGTATCACAATTGATGAGACTTCATAGAAAATATAATTAAATTCATATAAAAAACGTGAAAAAATTGTTTGAATTTAATTGTCTTTATTGTCACACTATATCTTAGCATATTACAATATAAGCGTGTTCTTATTTTGCAATTCCCCTCATTGACCTAATAGAAATTATAATGAATATATTTAAAAACTTGAAAAAATTAATCTAATTTAATTATCTTATTTGTCGTCTTGTATTAAATATATGCAACGTAATAAATAAGAGATCGATGACTTAATTTCTAAAAAAATATTTATTTATATGTAAAACTTGATACAAAAATATAAAACATTTATAATATATTAAATATATATTAAATAAATAAATTATATTATAATATAAAAATGTATTATGCAAGAATATATTAATTATATTATAATATATTATAAATATATTAAATATATTATTTACATATAGTTCAGGTTTATTCCGGACTCCCCTTAATTAAGGCTTGCCGGGGCGTTTTTAGAGGACCGCCAAACCCCTTACAACCTCCTTCTCTCTTTTCCTATTTACATTATCACATATCATTGATATCAAACATTATCATACATATTGTTACATTGTAATGTACAATATATACAATATGATACAATAACAGAAAATCATAACTCCTCTCCTCCCTTCTCCTCTTCCCCTCTCACATTTCCCTTAAATACAATTCTGCTCCTCTTCTTCCTCACCTGGCCATTTTGCGACCTTACAATATAACTGGGTCCCTTCCCCCCTGTCCCTCTGCCCCTATCCTATCCTTTCCTACTGAATCCTTTTCTCCTCGACCCCCTTTGCCTCTACAATATAAAATATTTTTTGTATCACAATTGATGGGACTTCATAAAAAATATAATTAAATTTATATAATAAACGTGAAAAAATTGTTTGAATTTAATTGTCCCGATTCAGCCGACTTTCGGACCAATATTTTTCTCGCCTATTTCTTTACAGGGGATGTTAAGAGAAGGAACAGGGGGAATTTTTGAGATCCCAACCATAGGATTCAAATTCCTTTCCAAAATGTTCTTTCCTTCATAATTGTCGCAATAACATCGCGTTTGGCTCTATTGGTCGAGAGGAATCAAGTGGAGATTGTGGCTTTAATTGTCTTTATTGTCACTATTATATTTTAGCATATTACAATATAAGCGCGTTCTTATTTTGCAATTCCCTTCAGTGACCTAATAGAAATTATAATGAATATATTTAAAAACTTGAAAAAATTATTTTAATTTAATTTTCTTATTTGTCGTCTTGTATTGTATATATATTGTATTGTATATATATACCTATTGTATATATATATGGATTTTTTACTTTTTACTATATGAATAATATGTAAAATATTACCAATATGTTATATATGAACTAAAAAATCAGCAATGATACAGAAAGATTATTCTTACTTACTTTGCATCTGGCATAATATTATTTCTATAAATAATTAAATATAAATTTTCAATTTAAAAAAATTTATTGTGAATATATATAATGAATAGAAAAACTTGCTAATAATTTGTACTTATTAGATCAAGATACAGAAAATCGCGTATTGTTATTGCAAAGGTATTTTTTGCTACAGAAATATTTTGCAGCATAGCAAACTAGATTATTTAACATTGAAGCCAACAATCTAAATTATTTATTATTGATATATAAGTAGTGATATATTATTATATAATTTCTTACCTTATTATAATACACTCCTGAGATAATTAACAAAATAAATATATTTAGACTAAAAATGAAAAATTCGACATTGTAATGGCTTATGTAAGTTAATATACGTGTCAATAGAAAGAAATAAATCGACCAAATTAACAATATGTACAGTAAAGAAAATCCTGCTTTCCGGCGACTTGTCGGAAATTCGACCACTTTTATTTAGGACACATAAGTATTGTAATTATCAAAAGTGGTTTTAAAATTGTTTGAATATTATTGCTCATTACATGTCCTATTTCGTTTCCGGACTGAACAGTCGTGTCACACTAAATGATAGCACATATTTATAATGTCAGAATACATAAAATAATCGATCGATTGACGTTTACATACCGTAAAACATTTATATAATTCAGAATATAGATTTGATGTTTCTTTTATAATGAAAGTAGAAATGTTTTTTTTAAATATTCTTTATTATTTTTCCCCAAAGGTTTTGTAATACAATAACATATATTTAGTGATTTTATCAATTAATGAATATTAATATTAAATATTATAATATAATATTTTCTGAAGAATATAAAATAAATAAAAATTTCGTACAAATAAAAATTATATCGAGTCAAACGCATAAAACTAAACTATTGAAAAAATAATTTATAATGAATACATAGTGAGAAAATAATTAATTATGTATAATAAAATCATAATAAAGATTCAGAATTTAAAAAATTATTGTCGCCAAAAAGTTCAAGAGAGTGATTTATATATTCTAAAAACGCCCCGGCGGTGGATACACCGGTGCCAGTGCCGCGTACGCTGCTGGTGCCGGGTATGTGGTTGCTGCCGGATATGTTGTTGGTGGCGCGTACCCTGGTGTAGCGTACCCTGGTGTAGCGTACGCTGGTGGAGCGTACCCTGGTGTAGCGTACGCTGGTGGAGCGTACGCTGGTGGGGCGTACGCTGGTGGAGCGTATACTGGTGGAGCGTGTGCTGGTGGAGCATACACCGCGTACGTCGGTGTAGGTAATGCTGTCGGAGGATATGGTGGAGCCATTGCATACATGTATGCTGGTCGCGCGCGCGTGTTACGTTTTCTTCTTTCTCTATTTACTGCCCGCCGAACCGCTTCGTTTACTTTCTGTAAAAATAAAGATTATAAGCATACTGTGTGTGTGTGTGTGTGTGTGTGTGTGTGTACATACACGCACACAAATCAAATTTATTTATGTATGAGTGTGTACATATATGTACATACATATATACAGGTTATTGTAATTGTAACAGAGCAAAATAAAAAATGTGATAAGAAAAAAAAAGATGTGGACAAAAATCAGTAAATTACAATGCAAATTCTACAGATCGAATAAAAACTGTATATGTGCATGTATATATATAAACACACTGAAATGATTTTATTACAGATGTTTTACTTATTATAAATAAAAAAATATCATTTGTAAAAAACATAAAAAAAGTTAAAAAAATTTTAATATTTGCAAAATCATTATTTCTCCAAAAAATGTAGTACACACCATTTTTCTAAAGAACAATGCAATGAATAAAAGAAAATGCAAATGTTTCAGTTTTATATGAAACAATATTTGTTTCATAAAAGCTGAAACATTTGCATTTTCAATTTTTGTTTCATAAAAAACGGAAACATTTGCATTTTTTTTATTCATTGCATTATTCTTTCAAAAAATGTGTACATTTTTTGGAGAAATAATGATTTTGCAAATATAAAATTCTTTTTCAATTTTATTTATGTTTTTTACAAATAATATTTTTTAATTTATAATATTTTTAAAAACTCTGAAATAAAAATTATTTCAGTGTGTTTATATATACATGCACGTATACAGTATTTATTCGATTTGTACAATTTGCATTGTAATTACAATTTACTGATTTTTGTCCATATTTATTTCTTTGCTTATCACATATTTTTTATTGTGCACTGTTACAATAACAATAGCCTGTATATATGTATGTATATATGTGTACACACACATACATAAATAAATTTTATTGTAGACTTGTTATAAAATTAGCCCTTTATACAAAGCGTATATATTCATATATTTATCAACAAAAAATTTAATTTAAAATATATATTTTTTAAAAAGAATTAGAAAAAATTATTTCAATAATTTAGTGCAATAAAAATAACTGCGCGGTCAATTTTACTACAAAAATTAATTACCAACCTTTTGCATTAGTCTATTCACCGCGTCGTTCCTCGGTGGGGCTGCGTCAATCCTCGGCGGGGCTGCGTGGGCTGCGTCGTTCCTCGGCGGGGCTGCGTCAATCCTCGGCGGGGCTGCGTTGTTCCTCGGCGGGGCCGCGTCTATTCTTGGCGGGGCCGTGTCTATTCTTGGCGGGGTCGCGTCTATTCTTGGCGGGGCCGCGTCTATTCTTGGCAGGGCCGCGTCGTTTCTCGGCGATGCATTATTAGTCGATCCTCCTGAAAATTTAAAATTATTTTGGTCTAATTTGTTTTCGACAAAATAAATACTAAGACTGCGATCGGGACGAACGATCGGAATATCGTTGTTCTATATTTCACAAGAATAAACATTGAATATTTCGAAGCATTCATAGCGTTTTTTCCGATCATAGCCTAATATATATGTATATATGTATATATGTACATATGTGTGTCTGTGTATGTATTTATATATTTTGTAATATTGTCATGAAAGAGGAATAATGTGTGTGAGAGAAAAAGAGAAAGAAAAAAAATAGAGAGAAAGAGAGAGAAAAAGAAAGGAATAGAGAGAAAGAGGGAGAGAGAGAGAGAAAGAGAGAGTATATGTGTTACAAAACATGGACACATTCTTTACCCGCGCAAAAAGAAGTCCTTATTTTTCTCTCCTTGTCCTTCTATGCTGTTTGAGACATGTATGCTAATTTAAACTATATAGTTCCATGAGTCTAGTTATGTATATATATCTATGATAATACACTTATACATGTCTATATATCGCATACAATTTGTATAAAATATTGCCGTACACACACGCACTCTCTCTCTCTCTCTCTCTCTCTCTCTCTCTCTCTCTCTCTCTCTCTCTTTTTCTTCTTCCTCTTTCTCTCTCACACACATTGCTATTTCGTGACAATATTACAAAATACATAAATATATACAGACACATACAGGCATACATATATATACATATACATATATTAGGCTATGGTCGGACAAGACGCAATAAATGCTTCGAAATATTATGTTTATTCTTGTGAAATAAAGGACAAAGATAAAATAATCCTAAAAAATAAAAAAAAAAATAAAAAACAATTAGAAAATAAATAATAAAATAAATTAAGAAAAAAAAAATTAGAAAAATAAAATAAATTAGAAAATAAAAAAATTAGAAAATAATAATACAATTTTTTACAAAAAAAAACTCCCGACTGCTGCCAACTAAGTTTTAATGTTTAAATTAAAAATAATGTTAAATTAGAAAATAAATAAAAAAAATAATAAAAAAATTGAAAATAAAAAATAAAAAATAAAAACATTAGAAATAAATAAAAAATAAAAAACAAACAAAATTAAAAATATAAAGAACAAAAAATTATAAGTATAAAAAATAAGCTTGTAAAAGTTGGAAATAATCACACATAAATAAAGTCTGTTGTTTATTATATAATTTTTCTTATTTAAATTTATTGTTATCATACATATTTAGCGCTATATAATTTACAAAAATTTCAGATTTTTGAATTCAAAAAATTTTTTTAATTATAATTATTATTATTAATTCTACAATTTACAAGAGCAGTCGGGAGACGCCGCGCGTCTAAAAACTGTAACGTCCGTTGAGTATCGATATTTGTGTTTGTGTCTATTTATTACATAAAACGTGCGCGTGCGTATATGTCTCAAATTTAGCGCGGCGTCTCCCGACTGCTCTTGTAAATTGTAGAATTAATAATAATAATTATAATTAAAAAATTTTTTGAATTCAAAAATCTGAAATTTTTGTAAATTATATAGCGCTAAATATGTATGATAACAATAATTTAAATAAGAAAAATTATATAATAAACAACAGACTTTATTTATGTGTGATTATTTCCAACTTTTACAAGCTTATTTTTTATACTTATAATTTTTTTGTTCTTTTATTATTTTTAATTTTTGTTTTGTTTTTTTTTTTATTTATTTCTAATTGTTTTTTTATTTTTTATTTTTATTTTCTAATTTTTTTATTTTTTTTTTATTTATTTTCTAATTTAAACATTATTTTTTAATTTAAACATTAAAACTTAGTTGGCAGCAGTCGGGAGTTTTTTTTTTGTAAAAAATTGTATTATTATTTTCTAATTTTTTTATTTTCTAATTTATTTTTTATTTTCTAATTTTTTTTTTCTAATTTATTTTTATTATTTATTTTCTAATTGTTTTTATTTTTTTTTTATTTTTTTTTTAATTGTTTTTTATTTTTAATTTTTTATTTTCTAATTTTTTTATTATTTTTTTTTTTTATTTATTTTCTAATTTATTGCTGTTCTTATGCTGTTTCTTCATTCTTTTGTCTCTCTGCTTCTTCATCCTACACATGTAAAAGTTTTTATTATGTAATATATATATTACAATGTATATAATATAATAATAATAATAATAAAGACACACATACACTCACCATGTGACTGCAATGTTCTATATTCTTTCCAAATATTTTTCTGCTACAATTTTTTAATTAATATAATATAATATAAATAGAGAGATAAATAAAAAAAAATAGCTAGATAGATAGATTGATAGATAGAGAGAGACAGATGACAAAGACAGATGACAACAATATCTTATATCAAATACGTAAACTTGTACGCAGTTATAATTATGGCTTTGACAAATATATTAACTTTCTTATGGCTATATAAGTTTATACATTATGTAATCACAAGTAAGTTTATATATTTGTATAGCCTTATTATTATTACATATGTGAATAATCTTTTGTAGTAGATAATTGGCTATGTAAGTTAATATATTTGTCTGCATTGCCATAATTATTGGTGCGCTAATATCTTTGTATAACTATAAATATATTTGTATACATATTTTTAATTAATTATATAATTATTATATAATATACAAATAAGAGAAAAAATAACTATATACATTTATACAATTATATATGTGGATATTTATAGCAATGTGGCTACGTAGCAAATTTAATAGCAAATAAGTGGCTACGCAGACAAATATAAATTCATATAGCCATGTTATGACTACAACAGATTAATTATATTATTAATTATATTATATATTTTTATTAATTATTAATAACAAGATTTACTTGTTTTCTATTATTAATAATGTTTTCTTCTTCAGATATCTTCAAGCGAGTATCTTCTTCCTACATATAAATAAAGAAACAATAAATAAATAATAATAACAATATTCTAAATAAAGAAAAAAACAATAAATATAAAAGAAGAAACTTACTCCTTTATTTATATCTTCTTGAGATATATCCATAATAATACACTTCACTTAATATTGTTGTTGACAATAACACGCAACAGGTGACAGCTAACCTTCCTATCAGTCCCGTCATTATTACTTCGAGATGTATATACCAATGTCACCAACATTCCCTATCCGGATACTACAACGAATCTCATTGGTGAATCATTTTTCCTCTTAGGTTCACACAGCAGCCAATGAGAGACCGTATTGACGAAATAATACTCATTTTTCACTTTTTATTAATAGAATAAATAACGATAATAATACGCTTTAAACCTTCCTTGATTAATAAGAAACTTATGTTCCAAAGTTGATATAAAACTATGCAGTAGTTATCGAGAATTAAGGTCACGACCGATCCGGGCTCGATGAAACGCATACTTCCTCTCTTTTCGCCAACCTACGGTTGGCAGCAGTCGGGAGAAAAAATCATAAAAATGAAAAAGTCAGGCCATGTTCAAAAGAAGGTACTCAAAAATTTAAACGATCTAATAATAAATTATCACGAAAAGTAACTGATATGTTATTCAAGGTGCCAGTTCAAAGTGAACATACGTAAAGTGTATATTATCTAAATTTAGTAATAATATATTACCATGAAAAGTAACTGTGATATTTTATTCAAGGTGCAAGTTCACATTGAATATACATACATATAAGTAAAACTGATTACAATTTGATTCTAGAAAATAAGTGCGATATGTTATTCTTAGTGCACAAAATATAATAGTCGTTTATAGAGATTTGATTTGAAATTCATACTAGCCCGTACAATGAAAAATAATTGCTCGTAATTCCAGAGTACCAATTTGTTAATGACTCAGAAAAATAACATGGCGGCCTGCTCTCAAAAAACTATGATGTTTCTTGATGTCCATTTAGAAATAATGTCGAAGCTCTTACAGAATAACTACTACAACATTTGAAATACGAAAAGTATTACATTAGAAGAAGATTAGATTAAAATAAGGATTCAACGTATTTTTAAAAGCTCTACACACACAACGAAGTGAATATACAAAACTATATACAAATACCTTTTCCTTCTGTGTTTCTGAAGAAAATTGTAAGTCAAATGAAACCTTGCACTTTGAGAACCATGTCACTTACTTTTCAGAGTCAAATTGATAAATTTTTTTTGTATATTTTAATGATATTTATTTCTCACTTGTATCTTGAATAATTAATATGTAATTTTTTTATTGTATATTACGACAAATAATCAGTAAACTTTTTAAGCGTATAGCTTTATTGTAGTTGACCTGAGAACTGTACATTTATAAATTTTACTAATATACACCCGTTTCGAGCAACAAGGCAAAGTTTTCTGATCAATAACTTACTCCCTGAAAATACGGTATAACACAAATCGGAAGTTGATACAAAAATTCGAAATTTTACTAAAGAAAGATTGGAGGTTTTTAATTTATACAATTTTCACAACTCTTATTTCAATTATTTATTCTACCCATCGAAAGTTTTTTGAGAGCAGGCCGCCATGTTATTTTTCTGAGTCATTAACAAATTGGTACTCTGGAATTATGAGCAATTATTTTTCATTGTACGGGCTAGTATGAATTTCAAATCAAATCTCTATAAACGACTATTATATTTTGTGCACTAAGAATAACATATCGCACTTATTTTCTAGAATCAAATTGTAATCAGTTTTACTTATATGTATGTATATTCAATGTGAACTTGCACCTTGAATAAAATATCACAGTTACTTTTCATGGTAATATATTATTACTAAATTTAGATAATATACACTTTACGTATGTTCACTTTGAACTGGCACCTTGAATAACATATCAGTTACTTTTTGTGATAATTTATTATTAGATCGTTTAAATTTTTAAGTACCTTCTTTTGAACATGGCCTGACTTTTTCATTTTTATGATTTTTTTAGGATATCACTTACTTTTTAAAGTACAGATATATAGAGCAGCTTTCTAGTAATTCAAGTATCACAAATATATGTATTTTCGATTCTTATCACATAACTTTGTATAAGTAACAATTTATGCAATACAGTCCAAAATAATTGAAATATATGGTATATATGTACATATATAAAATATATAATTA